TATATTATTAAAAATCCCTTAGCCATCAATTTATGTTTTTACCTCTTAAAAGTGAAAGTGCTAAATCTTGTAATTCCATAACTACTCCTTCCAATACTTTCATCATAACTGGAATATCTAATAAATGAAGATTAATAGGTTGATTTGGGCCAAAAACTGTACCAGCTGCAAGCTGGTACAATAGGGAATAGGCAATTTGCCCTGCAGCTCCCGTAACCACAACATTAATTGGTTTCACTGATTCACTCTAAAAAATTAAAAAAGCAAAAATTCAATTAAATAAGCATAAACTATTCAGAATTGAAATAATAGTGTACTTAGCTATAAATATAACAAATTTCTGTAGATTCTTAGTTTTTGTAGAATAATGATTTCATTAATACAGGTGGTTACAGTTAGTACAATATGTTAGAGTAATTAATAAATAACAAATTGAAAATAACGAATATTTTGAAAATGTATTGAAGGTCGTATGTAGGTTAAGCAAATGTTACATAGAATATAAAGTTTTAGTTTATCTTACATTACTTTTATAATATAAAATGTTTTATACAACTCTTAAAACTTACCATGATTTAATACGTCTGATTATGAACAGTAAAATTTTTAAATGATATGGATAAAAATCATTAACGAGCACTCCAGAGGTACTAAGGTCAATCAGGATGATTGATGTAATAACATTGACAGCGTTGGTCTGGAAGATAGATTCGAATTCGAATGATAGTACTGGAGGCCATGTATTCCAATTAATTTACTCCATACTTTAGTCGGTAAAGAAGTAGTATTATTTAATTTATATATTATGGACTACATATATATAGAAAGACACAATTTTCACGTTACACAGTTAAGTTAGAATTATGCAAAAAATTCAATATTTTATTAAATATAATTTGCAAATTAAATTCCGGTATTTTCTTGTACATACGTACAATTTTGTACGTGATTAAGATGTCTAAGCTGAACAAAAAGTGTGGAATAATTTAAGCCGTTATTTTGATCTTATTCCAATGTCAAATACATACTTTACAGGTAAAATTTTGTTGCATAATATTTAAAAATATCGCGTACAAGTTCAAAAATTTATTTAAGCAAATTATCCAATTGGAATGCTGTCTACTTTGCCGCCATCTATTCAAAGATATTGCAAACTCCATAATATGTATTTAATTTAACGGAATGATTCATCATCTAAATACTGATTGTACTGTGACGTAAAATTTGAACGCTGTACGGTAATTTATAATAATTTACGTAGTTTTTTATATTGTAACTTAATTTTGTTTAATTATAATTAACATTCAAGTTTGTTAAAATGATATTGCTATATTTGACCAAAATATTTTATAAAAGTAGAATATTAAATATTTATTCACTGACGTGGTGTTATTAGTAATATAAATAGGGAAACGTTGGCTACTATGACGATCTAAAATTTCAACATCTTCTGTGCTTATACAGTAGCAGCACTGTGTAGTGTATCGTACCGCGAAGGATAGGAGAAGTTAGATACGTGTGGAGGTTACTCCGATTTTGACAAATTTCGATCATGCTAATTCAAATATTAAGTTGACAACTGTTTGAAAATTAATCTGTAGCTAAGTTTAGGTCATAATCTACTTTGGGCGTATGTATTATGTATAGATTACGATTGTTATTGTCATTGTAGTTTATTTTTTCTCGTGTGTTGTCTTTCATTTTTTTGCCAATTTGTATTATCGTAATACGCATCGCAGAAATTATTCTACAGCAATATGAAGCTGCATGCAGATGTATATGACAAATTATATTTGTAAGTATTTTGTATACATATTTTTTTATTGCTACTAAGTATTTAACGTACGATTGGAAAGTAGTATGTTGACATATCAATTTCACTGACAATCATTTGTTTTTTCAGATACATAACTCCTGAAAAGTTTTATGTTGAACCTATTGGAACTAAAGTGTTACTTGTAGTTGATAGAGTGAGTCAGCAAATTTATACACAAGGTAATTGACAAGTGTATCTTATACTTAGTATGATTGTGAGGCATTAATTTTTTAAATATTTCTCTCATGTTTTAGCTGGTACAGCCAGTCAAATTCCATCAACTGCAAGTCGTAGAAAAATATGGGGTATAATAGGAACTATAAGACTGTTAGCATGTCGGTATCTTATAGTTATATCAGAAGCTGCAGAAGTTGGAACCATAGCTGGCCATCAAATTTTTAAAATAGTTGCAACAGAAGTTATACCCTATACTAAATCTTCATTGCATCTTAGTGAAAAACAAGTGCAAAATAATTCAACATATTTAGAAATGATCAAATCTGTATTAAGTACACCTTATTTTTATTTTAGTTATACATATGATCTTAGCCATACTATGCAAAGACTTCATAATACACCACCTGAATTTTTGCAGGTCATTATCTGTAATTATTACTAACTGATGGTTTGTACTTTATAATTGAACATATTGTATTTGTCATATAGATGCCACTTCATGATAGAGTAGATCCAAGATTTGTATGGAATGCATATCTTCTACATGACCTAACATCAAGGCCTGAACAGTATAAATTCTGTTTGCCTATTATTCATGGATGTATCCTTTGATACAAAATGATCTATAAAATATATTTATCTTAGATTTTCATGCAGATATTTTCCTTAATGTGTATTCAGTTGTGTCATTAAATACTATTACTGTAACTGGTAGCACATCATTTAATTTGGGTATTGTATCTAGACGCAGTGTGCATCGTGCGGGAACAAGGTTGTTCTCACGTGGTATAGATTCTACTGGTAATGTTTCTAATTATGTAGAAACAGAGCAATTGATCGAATTCAGTGGACATCGCATTTCTTTTGTACAAACACGTGGCTCAATTCCTTTGTTCTGGTATCAGGCACCAAATCTAAAATACAAACCTAAACCTCAGTTGAGTACTCATGAAGATCATCAGACTGCCTGTGCTCGACATTTTGAAGCTCAAATATTTCATTATGGGAAACAAATTTTAATAAATTTGGTAAGCTGATAAGAAGACATAAATGATAATGTTTTATCGATGCTACTTTTATTTTAACATTTTAATTTTTGCACAGATTGATCAACGTGGTCCAGAAGCTATACTTGAAAACACATACCGTAATGTAGTACAACGAATAAATAATGAAAACGTTCGGTATGAAAGTTTCGACTTTCATGCTGAATGTAGACGATTAAGATGGGACCGATTAAACGTTCTACTCGACCGATTAGCTCACGATTTAGAACAAATGGGTTATTTTTTACTGTTGGAAGATGGAACACTTTTATCAGCGCAAGATGGAGTTTTTCGAACCAACTGTATCGATTGTCTTGATAGAACGAACGTTGTTCAAAGTATGATAGCAAAGAGAGTTCTTAATGATGCGTTATCGAGGTTGGAAATTCTTAGAAGGATCGAAGATCATCCAAGTATCGAAGATCTTTTCAAACGGGTTGGTGTGCAATTTACACATCTGCTTTTTTCTTATTTGCAATTTCTGTATATTAAATGTCAATTGTGATATCACCTTTAGATTTGGGCTGATAATGCGGATGTAATAAGTATTCAGTACTCAGGTACTGGTGCATTGAAAACAGATTTTACACGAACGGGAAAACGCACTAAGTTAGGTGCAATGAGAGATGGTTTGAACTCTTTAACAAGATATTACAAAAATAATTTTACCGATGGTTACAGACAAGTATGCATCTTTTTTCCGATAGATTTTTCTTGTTTATACCTGTATATAATAAGTATTCATTCAATAGGATTCATTGGACTTATTTTTGGGTCGTTACATCATTCAAGATGGCGAATGCACATTAGTACAATGTCCTTTGGAGTCTGAAAGAAATTGGCGTTATGCTACGTTCCCCTTGGTACTTCTCGTTGCATCATCTATGTTGGTAGCTCACATAATACTTCCTTCGAGATATAGTACTGAAATTTTGTTGTATATGTTATTTTGGGGTGCTATGGTAGCCGGTACATTCGCGACTATCATTCATCATGGCAAACAATATGTGGATAAACCTAAATTGATTTAAAGAAGCTGTTAAGTTCAGGTAGCACATATTGTGAAATATTTTTAAGTTGGAAAGTGTTACACATTTCTTGTTATTTTTTATGTTTCAAATTTTTAATACATTCTTGTGTCATTAGATGTTAGGATTCGTTTAAAAATGAAAATTATTAGACTGTATAATATTTAGATTTATTCCAACTTTGCACATGTATTACAATCGCATTTTATGTTTCGGGAAAATTGTAGGTGTAATGATATCGGTGGGATAAGTGTAGTAAAAATCTGACAATTGTGTATTGATGTATATAGATTAACAACGTAGTTGATATTTCTAATTGAAATATTGTTAATACCTTTGCATTTCAAAGTAGAATAAGGTGTAACATGTGAGGGCATATTGCTCATTCCTTTCTTCGTCAGCTTGTCACGTTTTAAGGAAATTTTGTAAAGTATTGTAAAAAGTTTTCAATATCGAGCAACATTTGCTCGTATATAAAGTCAGCCAACAGTATAGTGCTTGATATCTACCGTCCGTGGATTACCTGCAACAATTAACTGTTTGGCCGTTCGTTTTAAATTCTAACATTGCAGATGTGTGACGGTACATAACGTCTACTTATAATTGAACGAAATTAGTGAACAAAATTGAACAAAATTAGTAATGAATTAATATCGATTTATTTCAGTGAAACCGAAAACAAGTTTCAAGGGATAATACAATCTTAACGATTGTCTGTCATTTGTAAAAGCTCTAAGACCTAGTCAAAAAGCAGATCGCATTTTAATACATGCGAAGTTTTATGTATTACGACGTTTTTGTAGGCGTACAATATCGAACCAAAGCATGTAATGTTTTAAAAATTGTATCGTATCGTAAGCCCGTAACAATCATCAGTTACGATTCCGCATAGTCAGTTTGATTGTAATGAATGATCAGGAGGTGAACGGGGGGTGCATTCTGGCGAAAAAATATTTTTTAATATTAAGAAATAACTTTCATACTAAAGTACCTAACACAAACCGATACCTTTGACCCGATATACATTAATAAAGTTGTTTTCTCTCTTGCAAATCCAAGTATGTATGTAGTTACGTTTCCTTTTAGTTGTAAGAAGTGTGCAGCATCGACTGTCGTGGAAGTCCATTTCATTAATGTAACACGCTAAATGACTTGGGAACACGAATGTTGATTTGTCAATTAAACATGCCATCCGTCTGCTTCGTTCCTTGGTGTATCCATTAGATAAATTCAGTTATAATTACGGGATTGTTATTTACCTTGAGCCAGAGACGTTTCCGTATTTGCCTTGGTGTTCAATTTACGTCTTTCTGCATGAAACACGAGCGGTCGCGAGAAACGTGTGCCATTATGTGAAATTCTAACAATGTGCTTTTATTTTTATTATTTTTACAACGTTCCAAAGTTTTTCTTAAATCTTAGTATTTATTTATCGCAGAGAAAATTCGAGATTTGGAAGGAAATCTACTTGACCTTACAGAAACGTTAGTGTTACGTTGTCTGCCCATAGGTGGTTCATTTCTACTTAACGATTCTATTAAAAGCACGTTTCAAACGCGGGAAATTCTTTCAAAGGATCACCAAGGACAAACAACTTACCTAGATTCCCCTCCGTTCATGTAAATTTACAATATATATATTAACATGTAGTTCCAGAAAGCATCATTAATATACCAGTTCCACTGTTTACCTAAACAAGATAGAATTTCCTTGTTGCTTGCGTACTGGCTGGTGTCACTGACTGCTGTTAGTTTATGGAATTGGTAAAACGAACGAGGTTCATGGCCAACAGTGTCAAATGTAGGTCGTTCCTCGTTAGGATGTTTATTCATTAGTGATCGATTAAAATAAATCAATGTCATCGACAACTAATAGGACCGTTTCTTCTACCTTGATCCAGCTTCTTTGCATTGAAATCATAATTTTCATAAGTATAACGTGTAAATCTTGTCAGACGTAAAATCTATCGCGATCATGCGTGGTAAACAGACAGAACAGTTGGTTATATGGTTTCACGCGTGTATTTTAACGCTAATGGTAGCACGGTCGTTGTGTCTGTCGGCCTTTTCTTCATTCCTATTGACAAAGATGCCTGTGGGAGGAAGGAAAACAGGCGGGCGTCGTCATTTCCGAACCGAGGTGAAACTTTCCGTGGCTTTGAGCCTTTGACAAACGGTCGGCCGTAATTGGATTCGTTTTATAAAGTTCCAACGAAACGTGCAGCTTTCTGCTATTAATCGGCGATGGTAAGCGGCGCTCTGCTACAGCGACGGAGGCAGAGAGAGAGAGAAGAGAGAAAGGGATAAAGAGAAAGAGAGAGGGAGAAAGTGCGGACTCTAGGTTGACGGGGGTGATTAATTTGATTCAATTACAAACCGACGGCAGATCCAGGGCATCGATTTTATTACCATTTCTCCTCTTCTCTCGCATCCATAGGATCTTCGCACTCGACGTGCACTAAGAGAGAAAAAAAGGAGCGAGAGAGGGGGAAACCACGTGGTACATCGCGTTCACTTTGTGTTCACTTTACGTTCGTCGTTTCACTCGCGGTGCTTTTTCCACTGATAAATCAATTATTAGAGGTCGAGTATTCTTTATCAGATCACACGTAAACACGTGCAACATCATGTTACATTTCCTTTGAATTCTTGTTTTTTTCAAATTTTAAGGTCATCTTGATTTCTCGAGAGGGAGGTGCAGAGGATTGAAAAGCGATCCGCGAATAATTATCGATGAAAGAGGAATCCCGTCCCTTTGATTAATTTACCTAGACTCGAGTGGAATACCGAAAATCGAAGCGGAGATGAAAAGGGGAAAAGGTGGAAAAAAAAAAGAAGAATTTCCTCCCTAGCGAAGTGAAGAGGCGTTGCTCGATTTCACACCTGCTCGCGGTGCGCGCGTGTGTGCACGGCATGCTGTAGATCGTTCGCCGCTTTGCGTCCGCGGAAAACGCGGCT